TCACCTACACCGATCCACCATAGCCACGCACCTTCAACCTCCATCTCCCTCCTTCACCTACACCCACCCACCATAGCCAGACACCCTCAACCTCCATCCTCCTCCTCCACCTACACCCTTCTACCATAACCATGCACCCTCGGCCTCCACCTCCCTCCTCCACCTACACCGATGCACCATAGCCATGCACCTTCAACCTCCATCTCCTTCCTTCACCTACACCCATCCACCATAGCCATGCACCTTCAACCTCCGCCCCCTTCCTTCACCTATGTCCATGCGCCATAGCCATGCACCTTCAACCTGCGCATCTCTCCTTCACCTACACCCGTCCACCATAGGCCAGCCACCGGTTAGGATAAGTCAATGATCGAGGTCGATTAGGATGTGGAACACTCTCTCTCTCTCTCTCTCTCTCTCTCTCTCTCTCTCTCTCTCTCTCTCTCTCTCTCTCTCTCTCTCTCTCTCTCTCTCTCTCTCATCTTCCTTCGTTCCTTCAAAATTCCTTAACCCCTAAAGCCTTCTGTCACCCCTCCCCCTCCATGGCATGTGACTAACTTCTATCCTCACCGTTACATTGCCAGGGAACGAACGGAAAGGAACTTGGTCCTCACTTGGTGGAAAGCGAGGGCAAGGGAAGGGCTGTCGGTCCCTTGTGCCACCAAGAAGGAGAAGGATATGAGACTATTGAGGACGTTGGTGAGAGCAAAAAGGAGTGTTGTTTTGGACAAGGTCAGTCGACTCAACCACCTCCCCGACTGCATGCCTAAGTAAGAAGAGTGTGGTCTGACTGCGAGGAAGGAAGGAAGACACCCAAAGGCATGGAAAAGGAAAGGAAAGACTTGGACTTGCATGAGGGGTGGTGTGTTGACCGCATCGGGGAGGGACGTATGCCATTGTCATGTTTACTTGGATGTGTTGCAGGTAAGTGGCTTGGACGATTTGGCAACGAGGGGATTGTGCGACATGGGACCGTAATGAGGAGAAGGGGGTTTGAATCTCGAACGGCCGGGACGGACTTTGGGCTTTGACGATTGCATGACTGGGGCGACCTGAAAAGACTAAGGGTCGGGGATGGGGTTTTGAGCCTGACTTTGTCGTGATGTGTGGTTGTGGCTGGGTCGCGAGTTTGGTAGGACTGCCTGGAAGGACTAAGGGCGGTCACGAGACCTGGGAGATGTATGCGTAGGTCGACTACTAGAGGAAAGATAGGGGCTAGGGGCAAAGGGACGAGCCGCCCCGATGATGCTATAGGAAACTAGGGTCGTTAGCGAAGGAGTGGGTGACCTAAGGAGAACGCTTAGCCTACGTACTGTAAAGAAGAGAAAGCTCTCAATGAACCTCCTTGATCTGCCTGAGTATTGAAAGGAGTAATTGCCTGGTAAGACAAACAGAGAATCGAAAACCTCATGCTTGCGTACCTAGACCAGTGAGGCTACCACCCGGCTAGAGGGTTGAGCTACATCCCCAATGTTAAGCCCTCTCGCCCTATTGGCCCAACCCCACCCATCTCATAGCACTAGGTGGGGGTGCCCTTGGGACGAACGACCCGCGCCCTGAGAGTGAGCGTGGGCAGGTCGAGCCAAGTGGGACTCGCAGTGGGGTCGACCAAGGCTCGAAAGTCCTACAGGGTACGACCCCGACAAAAATGGTGGAGGTGCCGGGTAGAGGGTTAAACTGACCCATACGATTCCGAGGAGGGCGCCCAACGCATACGTGAGGATAATTGAAGATAAGGAAAGAGGACTTGTGTATGCATCTCCCCCCCCCATGAGTGAAAGCAGACTTGAGGGCGGCTGGGCGCATGGCAAGGCCAGGCCTGAAGGAATAACGTGCGTGCTCGCACACCGGTTCAGCCATCCCTCCTGGGGATGACTCTAGTGCTCCTCTCTCCGGGCTGATGTTTGTCGGTCTGGGGGAGCCTTGGGCAAGCCGCAAGTCGACCCCTCCTCTTTGTGTGAAAGAGGGGCTCCGGTTACCTGGCAGGAGGTTGGGATTCCGGGCCAGTCCGGGTCCCGATGAAAGTCCCGCGGCGGAGCGATCCGACCGTTGGGCACCTTCTCCCTTCTTCTCGGAGCCCAGCAGGCTCCATGCACTACACTTAAATGCTTGAATGAACCTCATATGAACGCAAAAGGTAAACGAGAAGGAATAATCCTGCCCTATGAACGGACACACAAGCGAAGCCAAGGGAATAAAGAGAGTTGCTAGACTCCGAAAAAAAACTAGCTCCCCTTTGAAGATGCTCACGAGAAGGAACCGGACACAATGTATGGAAGTTAAGGGTGAGCTGCACACACGGTCCTGAGAGAAAAGCGTAAGGTGTGGGTAGGCCGTTGGGAGCACCTTGGGATAAGCACTCGTACTATGTGTGTCCCACTTGGGACTTGTGGCTGCATGATGGGGATTCGAGCGTCCTGCGATTCGGAAGGAAATGATGGGTCTACGCAGGCTGGAGCGGATTGCGAAACGTCGACTCGTCGGGTAGGCCGCCGGGTTCCGTGTGCGGAGTCGTATCACCTAGCCGTAGGGTGGATGTTGGCACGCCGGTAAAGGCTGTTCCTTATCGGACCGGTGGAAGTGAATGCCTGGACGGCTGGCTCCAATGGCCTACCGAGATGTGCGGGGTGATTCCCGAGATTAACGGTGGGTACACGAGCGGTAAGTCGGGATGGGGTATTCTGGGTAAGGAGGAAAGGGCGAATGCCTTGCCGAGACCTATGTACTGCGTTCGCAACGGTTGAACTGTGCTTGAGGTACGGGTTAAAACTCTGCCGATAGTACCAGCGAAGAGACCATTTCTGGGATAAGGCCGGTGAGGAGATGACCGGCCTGTGTGCGACGATTGCCTGATTTTTGCTTTTGTGCCTCCCTCTGTAAGCCGCCTGAGACTGTTGGGAAGGGACCAAGCTTCTGAGTCTGTTCTCCCCCTACTCTGAGTCCGCACGAGTGAGAAAAGATGTAAGGAAGCAAGGATAGGAGTCGGAAGGAAATGGAACCCCGGAGAAGAAAAGCGGAAAACAGGTGACTGATTGGGGATGTGGCATGGAGGCGACAATCTTGAAGGATGGGTAGGGAACTTTAGGGAAACCTTGATGAGGGGTCTCTAAAATAATGCTCATCTAGGATAACGATGGACCTAACCCGAGGGCCGGTTGGTGCTCTCATTGAACGAAACAGGTCTTGACCACCGGGAAAAGGGGAAAGCGGGATGGCGCAGTGGCTGATGTCACCAACCTACTCAGATGGACTAGAGATGCCAGTAGATGTGAAGGATGGGGTATCAGTTGTAATGCCAGAGGAAGAAACTTGGGTGGACCTAGAGCCGGCCTACCAAACCGTAATGTTGGCCGAGAGTGATGCCTTCCTATGGATTGAAACGATGTGGGCCAAAGTGACTTTGACCAGGATCACGCCGTGCTTGCTGGATTTAGAATTCCGAGGGACCGTGGAAGCCCGGGGATGGGTCTACTTGTCAAAAGAAAGGGAGACTGCGATGGTGGTAGAGCTCGCTTTGGGGAAAATGCCGCACAAACTGTTCAGGGAGGCTGAACGGGAAGTAGTGTGGGCCGCGTGCCAACGGGTGGAAATGACCATGGATTCAATTGATGTGCGGGTAGAACTCGAGAATAGGGAGAATGTGCGCAAGCCATACAGGGCCCTAAGGTGTGTCATGCCGCCCTTCATGGTAGACGCCGTCTTTGGGAACCGGAGTAGATTGGTACAGATATGCAGATCCATGGCGGGCTTGGGTCTTTATCAAGGAGCCTGTCAGGATTGCTTCCGGCTGTCAGTAGAGATGGGGCCTTTCAAGGGAAACTGGGCAAGGGAACTGGCTGAGATCCTAAACCACCTCAGCACGGATGGCCTGTTCGTTCCTAGTGATGTGCACTAGCGGATAGTTTATAGATGTTGTGGTAGGGGAGATCTTTCTGGGAGGGGTACGGGACCTGTGGCCTGAGGAAAGTCAAGACGACTCCGAGGAAGAAGACGAGATGGAAATCAAGGACTGGGATTTTTAGGGAAAAGGGGGGGCTGAGAACAGAGTGGTTGGGTCGCGTGGGGGTGTGCAGGGAATCAAGGATGGCAAGAGAGCAAAGCTTGTGGGTGCGGATGTTTAGAGGATGGACACCTAGGAGGGTTGAGGGCGGGGTAGAGATGGTCTTGCCAACAAGGAATGAGTGGCGCGGTGCGGCCTGCGACTGGGTGGGAGTAGAGATGGTGCCGACTATGTCCTTTCTGTGGGTAGAACGGATGTGGGATCCGGTTCGAGAAAATGAGGTGTGGGATGAAATAGCCGAGGGGAACGCGAAAGCACTTGGGACGGTGTGCCTTTCGAAGAATGGGTGGTATATGTTTTGCACGCACCTAGCGGCGGGGCGAGACTTGATGTGGATTTTAGAGGATGCCGAGCGGTTAACTTGGGAAATGGGGCAGGATTTTGCAAATGAGGGGTGGGATGAAGTGGGAAGCAGGGTCGTGATGGGGGGATGGGAGGACCTTAGGCTCCCCTACCAGTTAGTCCAGGTGAGGGTGCCGCATTTTGTTGCAGACTGGTTCGGAGGGTACGAACATATCCGTGCCGTAGTGGAGTCCATGGACGAGGTAGAGATAGGCTTCGCCTGGTTATCAAACGCTTATTACGAGGCGTCATTGCGATTCGGGCCGTTTTACGGGGATCGCGCTAGGGAAGTGATCGAGATCCTGGAGGAACTCAAGGACTACCGCTTAGAGGTAGGAGAGGAGGTCGAGATGGCGATACTCCGCCGAGAGATAGCCGCGACACCCTCGTATGTGGGGGACGTCTTCTTGCTGTTTGAGGTCCTATGGATTTAAGTACGGGCCTGGGAGGACAGGGGAGTAGGGGGATCAATCAGGGAAGGGAGGAGTGTTTTATATTAAAGTAAGGGTAGTGTACACAAAGGGAAAGCAAAAATAGAAGGGGGCTAGAACAACTAAGAGATAAGGGGAGGAGACGACAACTAAGGAAGCTTGGCTAACGTGGTGTACGCAGAAATCAAGAACGAGGAGTGGAAGCAGGTGACGGAAAATGGCTAGGCGAATGACACTCTGGGAAACCCGGCCGCGGGGGATCCTGCCACCACGCTTCTTGGATAGAAGAGTGGAGGTTAGCCTGCCCTCCAGGGCCGGGGTGTATAATCTGGTGATGGACTGGGTCGGGGTAGAATTGGTAGAAGACACGGTGTACTTGGTGTGGAGCTGGAGTGGCGCGCAAGGGGGGAATTTGGGGGCGTCAACCTGGAGTTACCAGGGCGGGTGCACGCCACGGGGTCCATCTATCTGTCAGACGAGGGGTGGCGGACCTTCGGGGTGGCCTTGGCGGATGGCGGTGACCCCGTGCGGATGTTTGACAGGGCATGGCAAGTGACTCGGAGGGAAGGGTTCGCGTTCGCCGACCCAGGACGGGATGATGTAACGACGACCGTTCGGGTGGTCGAGGTAAGAGCTAGCATCTTGCCGCATGAAAATGTGCGTATGGTCTTGCTGTCCTTCCTGCTTGAGCAAATGGGGGGAGTAGAACGTGCCGAAATGGCAGTAATAGCCCTGGACAGACTAAGCTTTACTAACATGACCGTCTATCGGGAATACTACCGGGCCTTCCTGGAACTAGGGCCGTTCGATGAGGAGCAGGAGTACGAGGTGTCAAACATCTTATAGGCAGTAGTGGGCACTAGACCAGGAATACCGACGGTAACCGAGGAAGTCGTATGGGAGATAACTAGGCGCGAGATAGGATGCGGGTTCACATATGTGAACGACGTCCGCCGCCTGTTCGAGGGAGTAGAGGAGTAGGAGAGCAGAAAAGAAAGGTAAGGGGGAAGGTAGACCAGCGGGGAATCGGGCTACGAGCATAAGGGGAAGGAAGGGGGCTTAAAAGAAAACTAAAAAGAGAGATTCCCTTCTCCTTTTCCTTTTTTTTTTGTGTGTGGCGTATGCAGGGTGATATTCGCCAACAATGGCAGCAAGACGTGTTCGTACGAACCGGCGGGACGCACACCCGCAACCGCCCATGGAAACCGGAGGCGGGTGGGAAGTGTCACTTCCGTCAAGCTACATTGTCCGGGGGATAGATACGGAATGGCGGGCCGTGACCCTAGGACGGAACCAGGCCTTTATGCTAGTTGAGTGCCTGTGGAGTGGCATGAGATTCAACAGGGGGCCAGGAGATGACTTATATACTGACCTCAGGGTGACGGGGACTTTATACCTCCCGGAAATCGGGTGGCAAATGTTGGGAACTGAACTAGCCTTGGGGCACGGGTTGCTACCAGTATTTCGAAGAGCAGCCAGGATCCTGAACCGGATAGGCCATGAGGTTAGGAGGAGACGGAATGTGGGACTAAGGACGCGGGTAGAAGTAGGGGGATGGCGAGATTTTAGGGCCCCAATGTATGGACTGCGTTGCCGGGTGCCCCGGTTTATGGTTGATTTGGTTTTTGGGAGCCTCGCTCGGGCAAGGGATTTGGTGAATTCAACCGTAATCTGGGAACGCCGCTTCTCACCACAGGCCACGAGTATGTTTTATGACGTGGCAGTAAGGCATGCGCCGTTTTGGGGGAATCGGGCGCGAGAATTATTGAAACTCCTTGAGATTCTGATATTCGGAACGCCCCGTCTGGCGTTTGAGGAATACGAGCCAATAATCATGAGGGAGATCGAGATGGGGGAGAACTATCTCGCTGGGGTAGCAAGACTATTTGAGGAGCCGGACGAGAGGGAGAGGCCGGAGGAGCCAGCGTAGGGAAAATGCCAAGAAAGACGGTAGAAACAAGAACTAAAGGAAAAAGAAAAAAAATATAGGTGTAAAAGAACTGATTGGGTGGTTGTGACCAGAGCCGCCATGGACTGAACACATGGCAGGAAAAGGGGCGAGAGACGCCGTTGCAACCAAAGGTGCGGCTAGGATGCCTAAGATAAGCGAAGGGAAGAGCAAAAAAGGGGTGAAAAATAGGCAATTTTAAAGGCTAAGAGAATTATGTGTGATTGCCAATTTTTTTTTTCCATATCACAGGGCTAGAGGAAGGAAAACATGGTCACGGGAGACGATGCTGGAAGTCAATTGAGGGACGAAAATCAGGACGTAAAGGACGACGTAGATCAAGAAGAGCGGGACCTAGGGGATCGGGGGTCGGCAAAGTCACTAGGAAACAGGGAGAGAAGCAAGGACGCTGTGCCCGGGGAAGATTCAGAAAAGAACGAGGAAAGTAAACGGGGAACTCCGGGAACCAAGGAAGTTAGAGACAGAGAGAGTCCGGCACGTCAGCAACCCGAGGGGCGGAGCCGAAAAAGGTCAGGCTAACGGATGCACGGAGAAAGCTAGCCGAAGTAGAGAGACACACGACAGAGTACAGGGCAAAACTATTGGAGGAGATCATGAACGATGCCGAGAAAAATGCCGCTGATGACAGGACGTGGGAAGAAGGGGAACTGGACCTCGGGCAAGGAAGCCAGGATGGGGATGCACAACATAGGAAGGATCGGCCTAGAGACACGAGGGACACCCCAACAAGGAAAGGGAAAGAAGGAATAGAATTCCTTAGGGAGGATAGGGATAGACCAGTCAATCCACCCCTACTGGACAGCGGAGCAAGCTGACCCTCGGCGTCGCCTGTAAGTGTAAGAGGATGCGAGGGACTCTGGAGCCTGAGGGAAAGGGTGCTAGGAACGTTTGACCCCGAGGGGATCGCAAAGCCAAAAGGGCAACTCGATTTTAGCAAGGAAGGCGTCGGTCCGAGTTCCGCGACAGGACCTGGGATGATTGAGGGAGGGCTTAGAAAGGTGGTGTCGTCCCTCACGCGCGCTCTCAGCAAAAACCAGGGATACTTGGCCGACGCCAAGAAAAAGCTGACTTTCGATGGCGGAAACATCACCAAGTTCCTAATCGATTATGAAAATCTAGCAGCCTTACTAAGATGGACTAAGGAGGAAAAGATGGAGCACCTAGGCAAGCATGTGTCACTCAACCTAGGTAGGGACATAATGGCAATCGTTGCAACAAGCGGATCATGGAAAGAGGCTAGGGACGTGATGATGAGGAAGTATCTAGCAGACGAAAAGATGGCCACGGAGGCGGAACTAGCTACAGTGCAAAGGAAGAATTTCGCAACATACAACGACTTCCTAAGGGAGTTTACTCTCGTAGCACTACGAATCCTCGGAGTGACGGACCGAATAATGAGCAAGTACTTCCTAAAGCAGGTCATCGAGTTTGACAAACATAAGATCTTGTCCGCCTACCAGTAGACAACAAAGTTCCTGAACACTAGAGACGTAGATTTCAACACTATAACGGATATTGCAGAGAAGATGGTGGTGACTGACTCGTTGGCCCTGCTAAAAGAAGGAGAGATCATAAATTTGACATGCAAGACTGGAGATAAAGTGAAGAAAGGAATCGAAAGCTTGCACGAGCGGGTCCATGGGGTTGATGACAAGATAGAGAGAGTAGAGAATGCTTTACTGGTGATGCAAGCCCAGGTCTCACAAATGCAAGCAGTACGACCCCCCCTCCCGCCACAAGAGGCAATCGTACCCCCAGGGATAGCCAACCGCGGTAATAATCGAAAGGACCCGACCAATGAGCAGTGCAAGTACTGCACGATAGTCGGGCATTTTGTCCGCACGTGGTCCAGGCTTAACCACGATATCATCCTTAAACGGTGCTTTAGAACTTTGCGGGGGGAAATCCTCGGGCCACGAGGAGAGAGGGTAAACTGGAACTCGCCGAGAGGGATGCGCAGAGCAGTAGTCGCACTTAACAACCTGGACGCAGCCGCGGTTGAGGCCGAACCAGTAGAGGAACTTACCTGGGGACAGGCACCCGGGCAAGGGCACCAGGTTAACTTCATCACCGAGAGTGATGACCGCGACAGGGTTAATGTGACCACCAGACAACGGGGTGCTGCAAAGAAGGTAATTCAGGACGCGGTCATGGAAGACGCGCAGGAAGGGTCGAATCCGCCAGCAGAATCGGATCAGGACAAAGTTTACGGCAAGCCTAGGGAGGAGGCGCCGGTAGACAAAGTAACATCCGCAAAGAAGAAATTCAGGTACTAGATCCCTATCCTTGCCGATCCTGAGATAGACGACACTCTTAGCAAGTTGCTAGGGACCATGGTATCGGTTTCCTTCCAGACCATGTTGCAGGCTAGTCCTAGACTACTAAAGGGCCTAAGATAGCTGCTAACGAGGCAAAGGGTGGAAGTAGCGGAGGAACCGGATGTACGCGAAGAAGGCAAGGAAGAGGAACCACCGCGGGAAGTAGCAAACTGTCAGAGGGCCCCCGGGGATCTGGAAGATCTAGAGAAGGCCTTCGCAGACATCCGGCTAAGTCTGCCAGACCGGGAAGGCGGAGAAGTCATGAGGGCACCGCCTGGTACGAAACTGAGTTTCCATGCGCTAACGGTAGGGAAATTGAAAGTCCAGATTGGCAGCCACCATACGGATGCACTGGTAGATGGCGGGGCAGAAATCGCACTCATTCGCAAGGACTTCGCAACAATTGCTGGGTGTCCAATCAACCGGGAGGTCACGGGGAGTGTCCGGGGAGCAGGCGGGGAAATCCCCTTTTCTGGCTATGTTACCAAGTGCGCAGTTAAAACCGGGGTTAGAGAGTCTATATGGTCGTTCCAACGAATGACCGTCATGGACGAAATGGACCATGACGTGATCCTCGAGCGCCCGTGGTATGTGAACGTAGAGATGATCGGGATGCACCTGCACGACGGCGCCTACATGGTAGACACAGAGGACTCGGTGACAGGACGAGGCAAGCTGCTTCGCCTTATGGGAACCGCGGGAGACACGCCAAAAGGGAAGCTCGCAACCTGGTCACCCTCCTTTGAGGAGAGCGCTAGAAAGGGGGCTTTCGCACGCATGGAAGGGATGAGAGAGAGGGTGGAAATTATTATCGAAGAGGCCTTTAATAAGAAAGAATGGGTCAAGATGGAACTCCCAATGAAGAATCGTAGGTCAGACGAAGACGCCCTGGGAGTCATGGTAGTAGAGAAGGAAACAGAGGTGGAATTGGGAGCCAGTTTGCCCAAGCGCGGGGAGATCCGGGACAAGAAGGATAAGGTCACACTAGAAATCCCGGATTTACTGCAGCTTGTCAAAGCAATCAGGTACCACAAAGTGGCCGTTGACCGGGCCGCCCTCGCCCGCTTTGAGGAGAGGGTCTAAAAAGGCTATTGCCTAAATGGGGAGCTGGTCAGTATTCAGCCCCGCATTGTGGAAGGCCCGCAAGCAACTCCGACCGTTCATTTTTTAGAAGAAAAATCCCGGAAGGAAGCGTTCGGAGGTATAAGCCAGTAGGGAAGAAGGCGAAGCCGGTCTCCATCCTACTCGAGATGACTAAGGAGGAGGCCATGGAAAAGGAGGAGGAGGTTCTTCGGGTAATTAGAGAAAGGAGGGTGGCGGAAGGACATAGGATACCGGATGAGGTAGCCCAAACCATGAAGATCGGAGTAAAGGGTTTTYTAACGGAGCAAGAAACACAGGCAATCAAAGAATTATGCCAAGAATCTCACCTAGCATTCGCTTTCAATGACCATCAGAAAGGGTGTCTGGACGCTAAGTTGATCCCACCAGTCAGGATCCACGCGGTCAAGCATGAGTGTTGGAATGACAAGGGACCGGCCTACGATTTTGGGATCGCAAGAGAAGTGACGGAGCTCCTTAGGGCAAAAATGGACTCCTTCGTGGCAGAACCTACCGCATCTCCTTACGCCAACAAGTGGTTTGTGTTTCGCAAGCCCAACAAGTCACTTAGGTGGATTCAGGACCTACAAAAGTTAAATGCTGTCACCATCCGGGATGCGGGATCGTTGCCGCAGGCAGATCTCCTGGCCGAATCGCATGCCGGACGCAGTATTTACTCCTTGATAGATTTGTACTCAGGATACGACCAGCTTCCGCTGGACGCACGAGATAGGCCCTACACGGCTATGCATACGCCAGTAGGACAGTTGCAGATGCAGGTCACGCCTATGGGATTTACTAATGCGGTAGCAGAGGCAYAGAGGAGAATGCTCGCGGTGGCCGGGGACATGTTCCCAGACAAATGTGAGCCCTACATTGACGACAATCCTGTCAAAGGAGCACGGGAGAAGGATGAGACCGAAGTCCAGCCGGGGATAAGAAAGTTTGTTTGGGACCACCTGCAGGATATTAGAGAGCTGCTGCGAAGATTCCTAGGATACAACATAACCGCTAGCGGTCCGAAGAGTATCTTGGCAGTTTCAGAAGTCACAATTTTGGGATTTCGTTGTGGGGCCTATGGAAGGAAGCCGGATCCGGCTAAGACCGATAAGATAGCACAATGGCCTACGCCTCTTCGAACTACAACAGAAGTCAGGGCATTCCTTGGGGTGGTAGGCTTTTGGAGAATCTTCATAAAAGGGTTCGCAAAGATAGTGGAACCAGTTCGAGCCATGATCCGTGAAGAAGGCACGCTYGATTGGACTGAGGAAAGGGAATCGGYCGTCCAGACTCTGAAAAATATTCTCACATCCGAAGAAGTCACCCTTGCCGCTCCGTGTTTTAACGACGAGGCCGGTCGACCTTTCATCCTTGAGACGGATGGAGGACCAATKRCAGTCGACGGGGTGCTAATTCAAAAAGGCGAAGATGGTAAAGAGCGACCGATCAGATTTGAGAGTAYGACGCTCAATTTGGCCGAGCGGCGCTACTCTCAGTTCAAGAAGGAGGTACTTGCGATAYTGCATTGCCTCAAGACCTTYCAGGCTTATCTCTTCGGGAGGAGGTTTATCTTGAGGATAGACCCAACCAATGTCACCGGGGCCCTGAAGAACTATAAGCCTATAGACCCGACCGTTGGAAGATGGGTAGGGTTTATCTGGCAGTTCGACTACAAGATTGAGTGCATAGCCGGCCTTAGGAATCGAGCAGACGGACTGAGCAGGGTGGTCCTCACACCCGAAGGGCTAGAGGAGGCAGAGCCGATCGACGCGTTCCTCGACTACGAGGGTGGGACGCTGGTAGTAGATAGCGAAATGGCCGCAACCACTTGCACAACTGGGGAGCTATTGATCAAAGCACTCGAAAAGGGACCTCCAACAGTGGTTGCCGAATTAAGGGAAGGTACGGTCACCAGAGTTCGAAGGAGGGAAGAGAAGGATGCCAGGGGCAGTGTTGTGAAACCCTGGGATGAACAAATCGCACTAGCCATTGAGGGAGGCGGGAGAAGGGTTATGAGCATGATGGAGCCTCAAGAGCTGGAGATGCAGCACTATCAGGCCTATCAGGTGGATAATAATCAGACGGGTACTCAGGAAGAAGAGCAGTTCTTCCTCATCAAGTCATATGATGGATTGTTCAGAGAAATTGGGTTGCTACTGGTGGGGAACAAGGAACCCCACGAGGTTAGTCCTAAAGCCAGGGAGGAAGCGGATAGGTATGCTCTTAGAAGGGGGCACCTATTCAGAAAGGAGGACGACCTGACACCCAGGAGAGTAGTCTGTGGAAGGATGCGACAGCTCGACATTATTCAGGCCATGCATGACGGATTGGTCGGTGGCCATCGCTCATCCAAAGGGACCCTAGCCAAGATAACGCCACTCTATTATTGGCCGGGAATGACATCTATGGTAGCCACGTACTGCCAGACCTGCAAAATCTGTCAGGAACGAAGCACGGCCCGCATTTTCGAGCCACTTAGACCCACCCGCGTGCTGGGACCAGGGCATATGGTACATCTCGTCCTGGCAGTCATGCCGGTTTCCAAAAAAGGGTACAGGTACATACTTGACGCAAGGGATAACCTTAGTGGGTTTTTGATAATCTAAATTTGATTCATTCTTTTCAAAATTGTTTGAATCCCATCTTAATCTAGTATTGTTAATCTAATAATACAATAACAGATTGTATTATTAGATTAACAATAGCAAAAAAAAATAGCAAAGAAATATAAAAGAATAGAGGTAGTATATATGTTARACAAAATACMTGATACASTCACTTTTGAATGCGAAACTGGAAATTATCATACTTTTTGTCCTATTAGTTGTGTAGCTTGGTTATATCAAAAAATTGAAGATAGTTTTTTCCTCGTAGTAGGCACTAAAACATGTGGATACTTTTTGCAAAATGCACTTGGAGTTATGATTTTTGCAGAACCAAGGTATGCAATGGCAGAATTGGAAGAAGGAGATATCTCAGCACAATTAAATGATTACGAAGAATTAAAGAGACTTTGCATCCAAATTAAAAAGGACAGAAAGGCAACCGCRCTCAAGAAGAAAACTGGGTTTGCAGTTGCAGACTGGGTGGAAGACTTTTTTATGAGGCCCCCGTTCATCAGGAGATTCATAGCCGACAATGAGACTGAGTTTGTGAACCAGGACGTCCTGAATACCTGCAAGAGGCTCGGCGTACCGATCAAATTGACAGAACCATACCACCCTGAGGCCAACGCGCCAGTCGAGCGAGGGCACCAAACGCTTAAGAACATGATTGCAAAGTTGGCAGCAGATGACCTTGGGAACTGGCCGGATTATYTCAGACACGCGGTATTTGCCGAGAATATGACACCAAAAATGACGACGGGATGCATCCCGGCAGAGCTATGGTATGGCAGGGAGATTGACTTTCCGGTAGAAGCCCTAGCACCCACRTGGAACAAATTGGAAGATGACCCTCATCTGACTACGGAACAATTGATCGAGGCAAGGTGTGAACAAGCAGCCAGGAATGAGGAGGCTTTGGAAGAAATAGCTCACAAGGTACTAGACAGTYGCATGAAGGACAAAACCAGGTGGGACCAGTTGAAGAACATCCGGAAGGAGCCTCTGCAGGTCGGGGAAATGGTCCTAGTCAGAAATTCGGCRCTAGARACTACATGGTCAGGCCAGTTGGGGAGGCGATTCAAGGGACCTTACCGTATTGCAAGAAAGTTGGGTGTGAGCACGTTTGAGATTGAGAACCTGGATGGGATCWYTATAAGGGGGTCAGCCCCTGCGCAACGACTAGTCAGGTTTCTCACTAGGGATCCGGTGGAACAATGGCTGCAAGAAGCCCACGATAAGGAGGCGGAAGACTAAGGCCGCTTAGGACAGTGGCAAAAGGCCTACTTATCGCTTGTGCTTCTGRTTGTTGTCTTTTGTCAAGGTGTTTTTTTCCTTTTGACGACCTGGGTGCGCACGAGTCGCATGGGAAAACGTGCGATTCGGCGTGGGTTTTCTGTACCATAGTTTTTGTGGGATACTGGGATGAGCAATGGGGGATGGGACATTGTACCATAAGACATGGCATTGGAGGGGCGTTGGGAAAARGGGGCGRKGTGGTCGGCTGTTCCTCCTTTCTTTTCTTCTTCATGCCTTTCTGTTTCCGTGGGAGCAACCGGGATTGGGGGACACGTGTGGGCAAAGCCTGGATGAGTGCCACAAGGGAATGGGTTGGGACTTTCTCCTGTCTTGTGTCGTGCCTTTCAGGTATAGAAGTCAGGCGGACCAAGATGGCACCCAACAACGAGAACGACATTAATCAAGCAAACATCAATATTGATGATCCATGGCGGCAACCAGAGAGGCCCCAAAACAGAAACAGACCGGTGCTCGTGATAGGATCGCAACCCCGGCCCCCTGTTAGGACGGGAAAAAGGAAGATGCGAGCCTGTAGACCCTCCCCTACAAAAGAAGGCGGTGTGCTCCCAGCCTGGTCAGAGGATGAAAGTGAGCAAGAACGGGAGAAAAGGAGGGAAGAAATATGGACAGAGGACCAGAACAAGGAAGAATCTGGGCAGGAAAGTTGGAAAGACGCTAAGAGATTCGCAGAAGATGACAGTGAGACAGGGGAGGACATTCCGGAGGTCGTAATTGTAAGCAACGATGGCGAGGTGGATAGGGTCTCAAGGCCCAGGCCGGAAGGACAGGCATCAACAAGCAGGGCCTCAGAGGAGGTCCAGGATTGSGAGGAGGTATTCGGCCCCWCACCCAGTCACTGGGTCGAGGTGTGGGCYAGCATTTTCAGACATGACTGGATTATTRTAGCCCGTAGCCTCATGGCGGCTGGGGAGAGGGGCAACARACTTTTRCTCAAAAGAAACATTACATGATATGAAGGCAACATTGGACGAGATACGGACCTACGGGCTGGGGGTGGTGCCGCCACCAAAGACAGAGGAGGGCAGGGGCGCTAAGCGCCAAAGAACGGATCGGGATACTGGGAATTAAGGGTTGGCAAACTGGGGTTGGATGGCACAGTTGGATGTAAAATAGGGGCACTGGGACTCGGCAAAGCAATCAGGGAGAAAGGGGGGGGGGGTGTATTTTGTTCAGTGGCTTCCTCGAAACAGAGTTAGTCAAGGCAAGGATGTGGGACTTTGTGTGAAACAATGTCTGCTGACCTGAAACTTTGCCAAAAGACATGAGGGCAAGCTGGGAGATGCAGGGAGAGACAACTTTTTGAGTATCARCTACTTTTTCTGAGTTTGGCAAAGACGAAGGAGAGTGTGATTGGGATTCGAACATAAGGGGGTTCTCTCTTTGCTATTTAAACAATCTGTAATTCGGTTTCTGTCTTCTCAACAAATTGTGATACAAGGTGGATTGGAAGGACTTGGGSCTGGCTACAGACACAACGAGTCTCTCAGAATGTATGGTCACATGTGTGAATGACGATGGTGTCCTGTTAAGAGAGGTTAGGGAACCTACGGGTAGAACGGCACGACAGTGCTTTCCCCTAGGAGCCTAATCCGAYGGAGTCCAGTCCTCAACATCAAATATGCATGAGACCTGCAGCTATGGTTGAACGACCGGGCGGGCTAGCATTGTTAAAGGYCGGGTGAATCCCACCGCGAGCTAGACGCTAAGTCGGATGTATGAGAAAACTAAAGAAAAAAGTGGAGCGAGAAAATGCATAGCACGCTAAAACTAATGGCCACTACCTAMCCCCCCAACTGACAATCGGATCCGAGCCTCCCTCAGCCCACCCCCYCAGGCGCTTGTATTGAGAAGGGAATGAAAATGGGAATGACCCTAACCAGGCTATTYAAGTATGGGCATGGAATGGAAATGGSAATGGCCCTAACCAGGCTATTTAGGTATGAGTATGGAATGGAAATAGGAATGGCCCTAACCAGGCTATTCAAAGCTCGAGATTGGAAAAGAAGAACGATCCTAACCAGGTTGTTCGGAATGACCCCTGACAAGGGTCATTCTTTGGAATTGGCAYTGGGGTCCCCTTGCATGRTTGCTTGAGATGCATGACATTGGAAGAGCTGAGCCTCTGAAAAGATATTGGAAAGTGCGGGGCACTGGAAAAGACATTGGAAGAGATATTGGACTTTGTCGTGGAAGAGATATTGCATTGAGCATTGGACTGAGATTGAGTATGGGAATGAGATGGAGCATTGGAATTGGAGTGAAAATTGAAAATTGCATTACATAAACAGGGGACCCTAGGCGACCTGAAATGGATTTGGAAAGAGCCTTGAAATGAAATTTCCCTTTTTTTCTAGTCTTTGGCCTCAGCAAGAGCGGGATACCGGTGCATGCACCACGACCCCAAGACCTCTATCCCTTTGAGGGGAAAAGCGACCCGTTCCTTTTCAAGAGGGTGAGGGTTAAAGGACTAAGGCACCTACCACTTGGATTGATGCGGGACATCCGGAACCACCTCCGACAATGAGCTCTAGTCGGGGAGTTCCAACTGCGCCTCCTGTTGAATGCCTAAACGTCAAAGGGCGAGAGAGCCAAATGGGCAGGAAAGTCATTCTTATCTAGTCTATTCTGCTACTCTCCAACCACACGCCATGTCATAGAGGGGTGGCATGGCCGTTTGGGTCGGACCACGGCCGCCCGCACTAAGTTGGGCGGCACTATCCAAGGGGAGAGGCTGGCGAGGTACCGGGTGCAGTCCGCCACCACCATCGGGCATTGACCCTGCCCTGCCAGAACATTACAACCGTTTCGGGACTAATTGTGAGGTCTTCGTAACTGCACTCGTGGACTGATCGAGAGCCCCAACTCTCTTGAAAGAAAGAAGCCGGATTCGCAAAACATACCACTTTGGGAGGAACGATTCGCGAGGGAGCCACTCTCGGGCAGGATGGGGTCCTGGGAGATAGGGACTAGACCCGTCTCACGGCTGCGAGGAGGCACCTCAATGATGATGCCTATCTCCGAGTTGGTGGCCGCCGGACTAGGGTAGGGGATGAGGTGAGTTATGAACAGGGGAAGGACTAATCACCCTTCCTCTTGCTGATGGGCCGGCATCCGCTTACTCAGTCGGCAGGCAAGGTCTGCGTACCTCCAAGTGAGAACCTGTAACGCGATGGGGACATCGCGATTGAGTGGGGGGAAGGTATGTCATCCACCTAAGGACAAAGTGTGCAAAGAAGTAAAAAACCCAGAAAAGGATGGACAAGAAAATTGCATTGGACTTGGTTGAGCTGGGCCATAAAGGTGCCTGGCCAAATGGATTGTGAGAACTGCATTTGACTTGGCTGAGCTGGGCCATAAAGGTGCCTGGTCAGATGGATTGTGAGAATTGCATTTGGACTTAGCTGAGTTGGGCCATAAAGGTGCATGGTCAGATGGATTGTGAGAATTGCATTGGACTTAGCTGAGTTGGGCCATAAAGGTGCCTGGTCAGATGGATTGTGAGAATTGCATTGGACTTAGCTGAGTTGGGCCATAAAGGTGCCTGGTCAGATGGATTATGAGAATTGCATTGAACTTGGCTGAGCTGAGCCATAAAGGAGCCCGGTCATATGGAGTGTGAAAATTGCCTTCGTCGTGGTTGAGTCGGGTCACAAAAGAGCCGCCGAGGGGAAATAAAGAAAACAAAGTTAAAATGGAATGAAGAAAAGAGGGAAGGGGGGGGTTCTTGTATTAGAGTGGGGGGAAGAAAAGGACGGCCTTTCCAAAATCTACAAAGGATCAAAGAAAACGGGCAAACAAAAGCACAAGGGAAGGGGGTAATGAACGACAGAGCGATGAGGTAACTGGGGTGAGACGCGAGCAGGATTGGCAGGACCCGAGAAAAGACCGAAAAAATGACCCAGGGGAAAGAAGGGAGCAATGGGGAGTGGCGGAGAGATGGAATCGAGGTTATAATGCAGCTAAGGGGAAGTTGTGTCTGTGTTCGTCAATTCGAAGTGGGTACCACCACAGCAAAGGCGGCGGYTGTACTGGACAAACACCCCCCTTCCAGAGTAGATGCCTGAYATTGAGTCACATCCGAAAACTTGCCTACAATTTGTTATCAACAAAACCAAGGCAGGAAAAACCAACCAGACTGGGGCGACAAATGGTCATCCCGGGGAGGAAGTCAGTCTGCTGGGAATTCAGAGCAGGAAGCAAGGAGAGCCTCGCCTGCCTCATGTTACTGGAGTCGAAGGAACGTCGGGCTGCCCARCTGGGTATACAGAGTTGACTGAGAAAGAATTTTGTGTCTCGGTGAAGGGGAAGATAAAGAGGCAGAGCTATGACAAAAATGAGCAACWTCGTCTAAGCTGTAGGAAGAAAGGAGAAAGCTTGAAGAGGAAACCCCGACCCCCATACCCTCCCCCGCCCTGAGGGGGTAAAGACAAAAGGAACCCCCGAGAAAAGATTGGGAAGAAGATAAAAAGGACCGTGGCAAGCTGACCGCCCATCTTGACCCTCCCCTCCATCCCCCCGTCTGTGTCTCCAAATTCCTACTAACTATGGACTAGTGCGCGATGAGGACATCGCGAATGAGTGGGGGGAATGTGTCGGGACCGTCGGGTCCCGAATGAATTCCCGTCACTCAAGAACTTGGATTTGGCTGATTTGTGCACGCCAGAGAAAATCGGGAGCAGTGACGAGACGCGAAAAAGACGGGCCGCCTGGGGAGAGCGGCATATTGGATAGAAAGCGACGAGGGGAGCTGACAAAAACAGGGAAGACGACTATGAACATGCCAATGCAGAAGACGCAGCTTGTGAGCAGAGAAGTGTCGGGAGTCGAGGACGAAACCAAAAGACGGGAGCCGCCAACAGGACTTAGTGTCGGGAGCCGCGGACGGCGTCAAGTGGCGGGAGCCGTCGGCGGAACAACCGGCGACGGAACAACGGGGGCGTAAGACGGTCCAAGGGAAGATGGACCGGCGTCGGTGATGAAGCCGGAAATGACGTAACAGACTGAGGTTAGCAAAAGACCGGGGAAAAAGTYGGGCGTCGACAGAGATGGTCGGCAGAACGGAAGGAGCGGGGCGTGTCGCGGGAAACGCGGAGAGAACCTGGGACACCCAAAAGGACCCGGAACTGAGTGCGRMAAACAATAAAAATAGTYGAGCGACACCTGCGGACGGCACCGCTGGACCGTGGGTCTGGATGGGAAAAGTATACCACGTGTTGCCGCGGCAAGCGCCGACGGGCAGGAGCCATTGGGAAAAGAARAAAAAAAAACGGGAAGGAGTAGCGGCAGCAAGGGGGCCTGGCCAACGGTYCGGGATATTCTAGGCCGRTCAGGCCTAGAAAAATAAAGTTCCAGAAGGGYCGAGGCAGCCCGGAGAAAATCGGAGCGAGAGGGGCCAAA